ATACATCAAGCAAACTGAAATTGTAGAGAGAGTCCCAAGATACCTTGATTCGATGTTCGATACTGTATGCTTGATCCACATCCTCTACCTTCTCTGGAACGGGTCGAGATTTCAGGGGGTCGTTCACAACCGTCTTGAGAATGATGTGATCAAGTGTCTTCTGTAAAGCAATAGGAGTCAATGATATATTTCTCATTATGAGCTGTGTTTTGGAGGCTTTAAGATTAATTTGTTTTAATGGTAATTATGCAAAAGGCAATCTTCTAAACTTTCATGACATTTTAGAAATACTAATTACCAAGATAGAATACAAAGTGAGAGAAACATTAATCTTAATAATTGAAATGTATAAACCTGATAAATTAAACTTACCTTTGTTCCATTCTTGGATTCGTTGATGTTGTTTCGACTGAGAATGGGACGGTTAGAAGAGTTTCTAAACCTCCCACGGACGAAGCGAAGAAATCCACACATTCTATAAAATTAAAAACAAGGTTTATCTAATTATGTATTGATTAATAATAACAATTAATCTATTACATTAGTTATTCAAATATCTATATTATTTATGTATTTATTAATTGATTGATTTGCTTATTCAGTCATTTGATTAATGATTTATGGACTCATTCTTCATGCATTCATTTATTAATAAATTGATTCATTTATTATTCCGGTATTTCCTTACTTTTGCATTTCTTTTTTAACTGTTATTTCTGTATAGGCCTATCTATCTATATATCCATTTATTTATTCATCTATCTATCGACTTATCTATCTATCTATCTATCTCTTTAGTCCTTCATCTATTTCATCTATTATTGATTGACTAATGTATCTATTAAGCCAATTAGTTTTTTCTTTGTTTATACAAATAGAATAAAAGTGATCTTCGTGTTAAGTTTCAATGTAAGAAAATGACACCTTTTTGTACACTTTTCTCAAGATGGTTGTTTTCCCAGGTCTCGTTGATGTCTTTCTCTCTCTCTCTCTCATTATCTTTTGGGTATATTTTTTGTTATAATCATTTCTTAATTTCCCTTCTGTGGCTGTTTTTTTTCTACCTTTCTACTCATTTTATACATATCAACCTACTATACCCAAGTTTTCACCTTCTTCTTTATCACATTAATACTCTCTGTAATGCAGTAATTCCGTTCTTCTTTTTCTCCTGAGTTTTATTAACATTTCTAGTCTTTATTCTCCTTCTTCTTCTTCTTCCTCTTCTTCTTATTCTCCTTCTTCTCCTTCATCATCATCATCATCATCATCATCATCATCTTCATCACCATCGCCATCATCATCTTCTTCTTCTTTTTTTCTGTCTTCTTCTTCATCGTTCGTTCGTGTCTCCTTAGATCAAGATTGTCATAAACTTCATAAACTCTTGTTATCCTTTTCTTGGCTTACACAGTATGCATTTAAACCTACGAAGTTGCTTGTTTCATTAAATCTTGTAACTTTTATCTCTCTCTCTCTCTCTCTCTCTCTCTCTCTAAAACTGGTTAAAAAGATCAATATAGAATGTTCTTACCTGATTAAGTTTTATTTTCGTCAGAAGTGTTTAAAAATACTCTAAAAGTTGAGAAAATTCAGAAGAATTTCTGCGCACCTTTGTCTAGTTCGGCATATGAACAGAGTATGTTGATAAATGTAACTCGTCTCCATGCCACACAGCGTCTGTACGCGAATGAGCTGGTGATGACGTAAATTATCTTGGAAAGAATAACTTTCAACCAATCAGCAGGCAGGGTTTACTCTCATTTCGTGCGCAATCACTTGAGACGCCATCAAGTCTGATGAATATTCAGTAGGTTCGTTAATGCGCACGCGCACTTTAAACGCGTGTCTCCTTACGTAATAATAGGGCATTTCTCATGCGCGACCTCCCTCTTCTGTCAGCCCCCTCCCCCAATCCCATCCTGTATGGAAGCAGGAGACCGTCAAAAACATGGATATACGTCGTGTCGTAATTCGAATTGCCACACTACCTAAATAATTACGTCGTGTCGTAATTCGAATTGCCACACTACCTAAATAATTACGTCGTGTGGTAATTCGAATTGCCACACTACCTAAATAATTACGTCGTGTGGCAATTCGAATTACCACACGACGTATATCTATGTTTTTGACGGTCTCCTGCTTCCATAATCCTGATCTCTCTCTCTGCTTCTCTCTCCTCTTTTGCTTCATCCCAACTCTCCTCCTCCCGCGGCAAGTTTTGTTTTCTTTCATATTTAGCCTTTCACTTTTTACGTCCCCCAAAGGGCTAAACGCTATTCATATCTAGAAAATAGAACATTAAATTGTTATGGTTTTCTCTTGTTTGACAGTCCCGTGGTGACAGATTATTTGATCAGCATCCTCTCTCTTCTTTATTCTTGTCCACCATTGGTTCTCCCCCATCCTCTCTCTCTCTCTCTCTCTCTCTCTTTCTCTCCCTCTCTCTCTCCCTCTCTCTCTCCCTTTCTCTCTCCTTCACCCGCCACAAGTTTAGAAAGATAAACTAACCCTGCCTTTCCCCTCTCCCGCCCGCTCTGTATATTTCCTATCCCCCCTCTCTAAAACTAAATGATAATAAAACATCGCTCGATATACTAATAAATTGGCACAAACTCCACGAATGTACTACTGCAAGATGATGTGTATGATTGTGCATAAATTATATTCTTGTATTGAAGACAAATGAATTATTAATGAAATTTCAGTTGCCAAAAGGTTGTCAGCTTACACACGCAAACACTGTTGTGATCATAAGCCATCGCTCGTTCAGTACTTTCACTTCAGTTTTCAACCAATAACTAACCTAGCACAATGAGACAAAAGCAACAATCTTATTTTCGCCACTTTATTATATTTTTTTTGTCGGTACTACATACACACAATCAGGAAACTTGATAGAGTTATGTTTTCAATTTGGTATATATATATACAATACATGTAGCTTTCGATTTTCAAGTAAAAGTGTACTATACATCAGTTCGTTTTAAAAAGACAATAAAACAATAATGAAATGTAATTATTTGCAGCATTACCATTCTTCTGTTATAATTAGTGTATTCATCATCGCCAAGATAGAACCACGAGTGACACAAAATACATGTATTATATCGCATACAGTCTGTTGAGAGCAAGAATGGCATTCTCTCGTGTGTCACATGGTAACTCTAAGTAATTGCACCTACATGCCATTTACCATTTTAGTCCAGCAATACCCTCACTTTAATCCGAATTTAACCATACTTATACACCATTTCACTTCATTTCATTTCTTTACTTTGTCCATGTAGGATAATTGCTTATATTTACATTAACAATCTTGCTTCAACATATGAACATAGGAACAACATGTAGTATGGTTCATTATTTTGCTGACTTGGTTTACAACCCTTCTCAGCTTTTGTTTGTCACTTTGCTTTGCATTATTAAACCAGATAATGGGATCAAAATTAATGTGAAAGTACTCTGAATGATTGACATGCAGTCCAAACTGTAAATAAAGACAATAAGTTTTGATATTTCAACAAAGAAATATAATCAAGACCCACTACAATAATATGTAAATTTAATAAACAGTTCACCTTTAATATGTTTACACTTCAAATAACATCGTAATTAGATTCTCAACTAAAGACTTGCAAGTCTTGTTGTATGTCTTACTCCTTCTCTCCTTCCTTGACTTTCTTGAACTTGGTCCTGTAATTGATCTATATTAATCCCCCACACTTCTCTAGGTTTCCTTTTCATGTCTTACATAATATAACTGAATTCACTGCAGGGATTAGGCCCTAAACTGATTGAGCTATAATATCCCACAATAAATCACTCACACAGGTAATTATTTTCAACCATGGCGTATAGTTTTCTCCCAGTACCTCTTTAGCTTGGCACATTAATTATACCTCTTATGAGAAAAACAAACACACTCTCGATATTATAGTTCAATGTTATAGTTCAATAATATAGTTCAATAATATATGATATATAGTTATATATGATATATAGTTATATGGTATTATAGTTCAATGTTCATTAAGATGTTCAACCTAGTAGTTCACTTCGCATCCTATGCTCGTTTAACCTGTACAAAGCTGAAGTAGATACACATATCAATATCCAAAAATATTGTACCTTCTTTGTACAATTTCTTTTCACCCGATAGTCAGTTTTTGTTTCATTTAAAGGAAACCACAAATGTTCTACATTATTTTTGTCGTTTAAAAAAAAGAAAAAGAAAATGACAAACATCATTTTAAAAATAACATTCAAGTCTACTCTGTTCTATAGCACCTCGTAGAAAAAGCACATATGACTCTCTTGAAATATGTAACATAATTTGAATGGAACATGATAAATGTAATAATTTCATCATAATAATAATTATGCTTCTATAGCGCAATATCTAATGCAGAGAGGATACCGGTATAGTGCAACGATGGAGAAAAAATTATGTATAGATCCACACTAAATCATCGGTATCTATTTCACTGTCATATTTAATCTATTTACCTTGCTACGGACAGAGGACGAGTATTTATTTTTTATCCGTTTCGGTAACTATTTTTATATAAACATATATATACCCAATAATTCAACGCTAATCATTTAGTTGATTGTATTAGGATTTAAATGTAAACTATGAACAAATAAAATGGCACTCTTAAATCTTGTACCTTTTGTCAACAGATCCCTCGCCATTCTTTCTCTCTCTCTTCTTTGTCTTGTTCCCTCAGCTTGTCCCTTTTCATTAATCATTTTCTGTCTTCATAATTGAAAACATTTGTTTATGTTTATAATAAATTTGAGTTGCACGGTCAAACAATTCTTCTTCATTTCTAATCTTAATTTATGTTCCTTGTCAATTTGTGTGAATGTATTGCATTCTTTTATATAATTGTGAACAATGCTAATCTGTAAATTTTGAATGTATTAGTCTTTGGACTGATTAAAAAGGAATTTTCTTTCAATAAACCTAGCCGTATGAATGAATGAATAAATATGCATTAGCAAAGAGAGATAGAGGAAGTTACGGGAATCAGGGAATGTACAGAGTAAGGAACGTTTTTACGCACAGATACAGTAAACAATTATGGATAATTATATAAAAATAGACGATGTCCTATTATAAAAATGTCCTTGGAACAAACAAAAAAGAAGGAAGAAACAACCATAGAATTACGCCATCACCACTATTACCAATACGTGAATTAAGTAAACAAACTTGAACAAATTGTATCTCTATAATACCTTGCATATTTTACAACAAACGTTTTTGATTACATTGTAATATTTTGAGAACAAGAACAATAATCTGCTTACTTTGCCACTGCATGAACACATAGCATTTGAAGGAGGCAGCTGCTCATCCTCCAAAGTAGCGGGAATGCATGATGACTGTGTATTATATGTACAATGTATGCTTTCAGTCGATTAGAAGGTGTGCTACCCCTCCCCTCGTCTTTGATTTTGATTATCTACCTACATTTGTCTGTAAAATAACAGCCATTCGCAAAAATGAGCGCAACGCCTTGATACTTCATAAGCGTAAACGTTATATAATCTACTGTCGACATTTCAAATGAAATCGGTTAATAGTATGATAGCATTATAATAGAGTGGAGTCAAGGCCAGCTATTTGATTTAAATCACATTTCGGCACAGACTTACAATTAAGGCAGGGGCACTGAAAGGACTGCATCCGGGAGTTTTAAAGTTCTGACATTCGATGAACCATCATCTCATAATTAACCGGGTAAAGAGGTGCCCCATATATCCTAATTTTTGGGCAGCAAGGTACTCAAATATCCTCCTATTCAGACAACGAGGTGCCTGCATATATATTTTTTATCTGGTGTATGTTGGTGACTATTATGAGCTGTGACAACGGAGACCAGGCAAGAGTAGATAATATTTATATGGTGAATTTATTCAATTTGACCGAATCACAATCTAAAATGGTAGAGTTTTGTATCCACGTTTCATCTGCAATACTGAAATTTATTCCTATGTCTCATGGAAGATGTAAAGCATATTATTAGTGCAGAAAGCAATCTCTCCCGTCTTGAATGCTTGCAAACAGCAATTAAGTGTTACGATTATCTTGAAATCAGTGAGAATGTGTTTGACGTATTTGAGCTCTTTGGTGTACCGAACGATGCTCAGCAGACCATGACGTCGCTTAACCCATGCAATGATAACTGAATCATCCTGACACACAGCAAGGTAAGGTTCACTACCATCTTTGCTGATGCTATGAATGCTAGCACCAGACACATCGTTGATTACTTGTATATGATACTGATAGCTGATAATACATATACTCATAACAACAATCGCTTGACTGGATGACATCGCAAAAATCTGCAATGGTGCAAGTCTGTTACACGATATCTCTCTAATTGCCTCCCCCCCTTCTGGCCTAAATACCTGTATTTTACGGCATCTACCGTAACCTATGAAGATGAGCCCATCCTTGCCTACACTGAGACTGCCATGTTCACCTTTCCAAACATCCTCTGTCTCAAATGATACATCAAGCTTTTTACAAAACCGTGTATACAAGGAAATTGTGCTATTGGTGTCGCGTATGACGTATCCCAAATCAGGCATGAATTGTAAGGAACTAATTTTAACAGATTTCAGAACGGTATCTTGTATGATGCCATCAGAAGAATATATGACTATTCCTCCCTCGCGACAACCAACAGCTATCTCATTGTTTGGTGATATTACCATCTCGCGCATGCTTTTTCCAGCAGGCAGTGGAGCTTCCGTGCGCAGAACCAATTCAGACTTCTTTTGTCTTACATGTAGCTGGCCCAACTGGAGTCCATCTGATCCCTGACTCCTGAAGCCAATTCTTTCACCTTCCTCAGCAGTTTTTCTGGGTAGCTCCTCATCTGGCCCAATCTGATTTAGAAGCTCTTCCAGCTGTTGACACATCGCTTTATGTGAGGTCAGAGCCTCTGTCTGGAGAGGAAAATTAAGACCATTCTTAACCAAGTCCAGAACCTTCTTCATCTGGTCTATCTGCTTACAAATCGACTTCTCCACGTCTCCCAATGAAGTCTTAAGTTTCCCTAGCTTGTGCCCAATTTCATTTTTCAACACCGTCTTTCTTTCCTTCAATTTCTCAACTGATTCCTCAAAAGTTGCATCTATTTCATTATTGAGTTGTTCCTGTATGTCATGCATTCTTTTACGCTGGTCTTCAACAAAAGTGAAATACTTGTCAACGTTGCGTATCGTTGCATCCGCTTTAGATGCAAGTTTCTCGACGTGATTCTTTTGCTCAGTTTCATGTTCGTCTGCTTCCAGGATAGTGTGAGCATCCTTTGCATGATCTAATATGCCACACTTGAAGCAGACATACTTGTTACAGTTGAGACAAAAACATTCTTCATCGTAGTTCGGATGTTTTCGACATTTGTTCCATTTTCTTTGCAATGATTTGTTTCCTGCTTGATTACAGTTGGTAACAAAGACCTGGCGCTGGGTCTCCACATCTTCAACAAGTGATCTGACTGTTATGTTTGATTGTAGTCTACCCACGTCTCCACCAGGAAGCGAAGTCTCCTCCCTGCACGTAGGACACAACAGCTTTCCACGAGACTCCAGGAGAGTCTCAAGACAACCCTTGCAGAAGGTATGGGAGCAGGTCAGATTCTTGGGTTCCTTGAAGAAGCTCAGGCAGATAGGACACTCAAGGTTCTTATGGACAGTCTGCTTTAAGGAAGTAGCCATCATTGACAACTCTAGCACATGACCTGCGGAAGAGAAGGAAAAAAATGGTGAATTAATCGGCCAACACAATCAAAAGTGTGAAATATTTTGAAATACTTAGCCGGCTATTATTGCACTAAAAAGTGTTTAATTAACATAATGCAATATTCCATGATTAATATACGGCCTACCCGGTACAACATTATGAAATTACTTTACGCTTCTTCTTTAGCACTTACCTTACGAAGAAGCTCTATAGACGAGTATGCTTTTTAATAAGACTTTAGAGGCGAATAATTTCATTTAGCAATGCAGTTGTATGAGTGTGCTTTTTTTTAATCGAGTGGGAATTTCCATTTTCCCACTAACATTCATAACAGGACGTATTTTTTTTAACCTTTGCACTTGTGATCCTTCCGCTTCACGGTACCGTTCACCCGCGCACATCTCAGCAATCCCTCTCGTTATTACAAGTTAAGCACACTTTTTGTTCTAGTTTCACTGGTACAATGGTGGAGGAGAAAGCTAATTATTCAATTTAATCGTACTTGAATGTGCACTGGTGCACAGGTGAAGGAATGATTAAGGAGTTTTTTAAATTATTATTTCACTCACTGGCGTACTGAGGGGGGGGGGCAACAACGTCGTTTATTTCTAATTCGATACTAATTGTTTATAGTCAGGGCTGTTAGGGCTATATAGGGGTCGTTTGGTGCAGATTCTTCTAAAAGCACCAAATTTGGCCCAGAGGTAGCTTATACCATACTATTACGATTTCTGCCGGGCGCCAAGAAGGGCGCCCTCTGTGACCGCCATATTGGTCAAATCCAAAATGGCCGCCATCTGAGTTAAAGGTCAAGCGTAGTTTCAAAAGGAAAAGGGCTAGTATTATAACAATTTATATATTTCTGGGGTTTGGGGGGTCAGATAATCTGAATATAATGTTCTTTCATCAATTTGAGGTCTCCTTTAATAGGGCTTTCATACTGGTCATATTGGTCAAATCCAAAATGGCCGCCATGTTTAGTTACAAGTCAAGTGTAGTTATGGAAGGAAATGGGCTAGCATGTTAAAGGTTTATCTATTTATGGGGTTTTCGGGGTCAGAGAATCTGATTATGATGTTCTTTCATCGATTTGAGGTCTCCTCGGGGCTGCAATACTGGTCATATTGGTCAAATCCAAAATGGCCGCCATGTTTAGTTACAAGTCAAGTCTAGTTATGGAAGGAAATGGGCTAGTATGTTAAAAGTTTATCTATTTATAGGGTTTTCGGGGTCAGAGAATCTGATTATGATGTTCTTTCATCTATTTGAGGTGTCCTTGCTGCTGCTATACTGGTCATAGTGGTCAAATCTAAAATGGCCGCCATCTGATCGTTACAGGTCAAATATAGCTACGAAAGGAATTGGGCTAGTTTGATAAAAGTTTATATATTTATGGGGTTTTCGGGGTCAGAGAAACTGGTCATATTGGTCAAAACCAAAATGGCCGCCATCTGATAGTTATAGGTCAATAGTAGTTCCAAAAGGAAAAAGGCTAGAATGATAACATTTTATGTATTTGTGGGGTTTTCGGGGTCAGAGAATCTGACTATAATGTTTTTTTTATCGATTTTATATCACCAATCCTGTCCTACATGATAGGCTACAATGAAGTCCATTTTCTGGTTAAAGAAGATGAGGGAAGATGCGCCATTTCACACTTGAGTCGGTATAAATCTTGGCCTGCGCCCATACTTTTCATCACTATGTTCTACTATATGCTGTCAATGTTGTTGCTACATCCGCCCTCGCATTTGCAGAGCATCGTTTCACTGGTGACCCCGACGTGATCTAAACCCGACCAACCTACTGAGTCGCAGACATCCTTCATCAAAACTGTTTCAATTTTTGTCTCCCTTTTCTTCATATTTCTACTCACGTCTTATCTTTGAACTGTCATCATGCCTACTGACGATCACACCCATTCGTCAACTTCTGAAACTTCTGCTTGCCCTTCATCTGTCTCCAATGTTCAAATCAAACTTCCTCCTTTCTGGCACAATGATCCTACTATATGGCTTGCCCAAGTCCAGGCACAATTCATAACCCGAGGCATCACCCAACAGAAAACAAAGTTTGTCTACGTCGTCGCCTTCTTGCAGCCGGAATATGCCCAGGAAATTTGGGACTTACTGATATCTCTTCCTCAAGAACAGCCCTACGTTAAACTGAAAGCCGAATCGATACAGAGGAACTCCACCTCTAAGCAAAAACGCCTTCATCGGGTGCTGATTTATGAGAACTTTGAGAGATCACAAACCCTCCCACTTACTTCGCAAGTTAAAAAAGTGCTGGGGTGAACAAGTTGGAGGAGAACATTCTGAAACAGCTATTTCTCCAGAGGCTGCTCACAAAATTATGTTCAGCTCATTTTAGCATCAACTGGGGACTCGATGAAGATCAAGAACCTCGCTGATTTAGCCCCCCAAAAAAAAAATCGTTGTGACAAATTCCCCATCTAACTTTCATCCTATTGGTCTTCTTTCTCGTCTTCTTCTTCTTCTTCTTCTTCTTCACACCCTACTCCTTTCCTGAAAATGCAGCAAATGAAAGCGCAAATATCACATCAGAAGCAAGACCGTCAAGCGCGAAGCCCCAGCTCACAAGGGGATTGCTATTATCACTTTCGTTTTGTTAGCGAGCCAAGAAATGTACTCCTCCCTGTACTTTCAAATCAACCTCTTCAAACCAGGGATACGACCCAGCCAGCGACTAGAAGCGACAAGTTCGACTGCATGGCACCAGCCCCAAAAATTGCCTTTTCTACATTACGGATAGGAAACAGGGATTAGATTTCTCGTAGACCATTGAACTGAGGTAAGCGTTCTTCCTCCATCCATGGACCTACTAGGTCCATGCTCCATCCAAATCCGAGAAACATTATGCACCCTTCTTCGAAATTCCCCTGCAAGAAGTTAATCACTCAAGTATCACTACTTACGGAGACCTAAGCCCGACTCTCGACGTCGGCCTACGTCGAGCTTCCAGGTGGATTTTCATTATTGCCGACATATCCAATCCTATATTCGGGGCAGACTTTCTCCCTCACTTTGGTTTTCTGGTAGATGTGCGCAATCTCAAGCTCATCGATTCTACTACTAATCTATCTGTAAGAGGCATCCTTTCTTCTTCTCCTTCTATCAGCCCCATGTTTGTCAAGGCAGACAGTTAAGCTGCTTCCAAATCTCTTCTTGACCAATGTCCAGACCTCACACGCCCAGTCTACAAGGGGGCAAAAATGCTAGAATTAGGCATCGTCCGACCTTTTGGCAGCAGTTCGGCATCCCAACTTGGTGCCCAAGAAAAACCCCGGAGACTGGAGACCAAGCGATGACTACCATGGACTAAATAGGAATACAGTGCCCGATAAATGTCCTATTCCCCATCTTCAAGATTTCACCTCAGCTCTAGCAGGCGATAGAGTTTTCTCCAAACTCGATTTCATCAGAGCGTACCACCAAATTCCAGTCGATCCAGTAGACGTACACAAAACAGCCATCACCACACTCTTTGGGTTACTTGAATTTGTGCGCATGCCTTTTGGGCTATGAAATGCCGCACATATATACTTTTCAACAGTTTTTTGATGATCGAGGTAACCCATGGTCTACAAGTTGTGTACGCCTACATCGACGACCTCCTCGTCGCGAGTAAGACAGGACATAAGAGGAACATATTCAACACCTCCAACTAGCTACTGTTCTTACGACTCTTGAAATACGTTGTATTCATTAACCCACTCAAGTGTGAATTTGGCGCATCTTCCCCCATTTTCCAAAACCAGGAAATGGAATGCATTGTAGCCTGTCATGTAGGACAGGATTGGTGACATAAAATCGATAAAAGAACATCATAATCAGATTCTCTGACCCCGAAAACCCCACAAATACATAAAATGTTATCATTCTAGCCCTTTTCCTTTTGGAACTACTATTGACCTATAACTATCAGACGGCGGCCATTTTGGTTTTGACCAATATGACCAGTATGGCAGCCCCAAGGAGACCTCAAATCGATGAAAGAACATGATACTCAGCTTCTTTGACTCTGAAACCCCAAACAATATTTAAACTTTTATCATACTAGCCCATTTCCTTTTGTAACTACACTTGACTTGTAACTATCAGATGGCGGCCATTTTGGATTTGACCAATATGACCAGTATGGCAGCCCCAAGGAGACCTCAAATCAATTAAAGAACATCATAATCAGAATCTCTGACCCCGAAAACCCCATAAATATATAAACTGTTATCATTCTAGCCCTTTTCCTTTTGGAACTACTATTGACCTTTAACTATCAGACGGCGGCCATTTTGGATTTGACCAATATGACCAGTATGGCAGCCCCGAGGAGATCTCAAATCGATGAAAGAACATCACAATCAGATTCTCTGACCCCGAAAACCCCATAAATATGTAAAATGTTATCATACTAGCCCATTTCCTTCCATAACTACACTTGACCTGTAACTCAGATGGCGGCCATTTTGGATTTGACCAATATGACCAGTATGAAAGCCCCAAGGAGACCTCAAATCGATGAAATAACATCATAATCATATTCTCTGACCCCCCAAACCCCATAAATATATACATTTTTATCATATTAGTCCTTTTTCTTTTGGATCAACGCTTGACCTTTAACTCAGATGGCGGCCATTTTGGATTTGACCAATATGGCGGCCACAGAGGGCGCCCTTCTTGGCGCCCGGCAGAAATCGTAATAGTATGGTATAAGCTACCTCTGGGCCAAATTTGGTGCTTTTAGAAGAATCTGCACCAAAATATCCCTAACAGCCCCGACTATTATAAATGTTGCTGAAATAACATGATTTTTTCCGAGATTTTTTCTAACTTTTTTGTAAATTATACTTTTGTAGGCGTTTGTTGAAAAATGATAAATTCCCAAATTAACAGTCAGGCAAACAATATGCAGATTTAGATGCCTATATGTCAGGGCACGCGCAACGGCGGTGCTCGGGGGCTAAAGCCC